GAAGCGGTTATTCCACTGAGCCATTTCCCCAGCCCACTTTATTTTCTTTTAAATCAGTACATGTAAAAGTAAAACAACATAACGAACCTTTCAGTTCATTGCTCATTTTCCGCAATGACCAATCTTATGTCCAATCTTTCTGGTGCCTGAGAGCAAACCATGCTGGGTAAATGCTTTTCCATTGAACAACATCTCCTCCATGTGTTGAATCCTACTGTTCTTATTTGCTTCTGAAAACAAGTGTTAAATCTGTATTTTGGAGTAAATACCAGGGTAGACAGTGTAACCTGGGAGATGGTAGGGTGGTCTTGCGTTGTCAACTACTTGTCTCTCTTTTCAGTTGCTGCCTATTGAAAGAGCTGCTCGAAAGCAGAAGGCTCGGGAAGCTGCTGCTGGGTGAGTTTTGGAAACTGTTAGAATGGCGAGGCAGCCCCTGGCCCGGAGGAGGTATCCATTTTGGTCTATGAATCATTGTTTCTGGACGTTTCTAGGGGCCAATGGAGTGAGGAGGAGACTGATGAAGAGGAAGAGGAGGAAATGTCCCTTGAGTCAGGCCCCACAAAGGAGGAGGCAGATGGGGGCCTGCAGATCAATGTAGATGAGGAGGAGTTTGTGCTGCCCCCTGTTGGGGAGATGGAGCAGGATATCCTTCCAGAGCTGGAGGTGGGTGGGTAGAAGGAAGGAGCTTTGGAAAGAAGGGCAATCTCAGCCGTACAATTACATGAAACAGTTCCTTAGCAGGTTCACATGCCCAGGCTCCAGACCTGCAGCGAGTTCACAAGAGGATCCAGGACATAGTAGGAGTATTGCGTAATTTTGGGGTGCAGCGGGAAGAAGGCCGATCTCGTTCTGAGTATCTGAATCGGCTGCAAAAGGATCTGGCCACTTATTACTCCTATGGAGACTTTCTGCTTGGCAAGCTCATGGAGCTCTTCCCTGTATCTGAGGTATGGGATGTGCAGTCTAATGCTTCCTGTCCCTTTTTACTCACATTACTCCATGATGACATTCAGCCCCCTTTTTGTCTGACCTAACCGCCTGGCAAGCCTGACTCAGCCCCTGAAGTTTTTTCTCCCAAGCTCATAGAGTTCTTAGAAGCTAATGAAGTCCCTCGGCCCATCACCCTGAGGACCAATACCTTGAAAACGCGGCGCCGAGACCTTGCTCAGGTGAAGGGCTGGTGTTTAGTCTGTTTTGGAGAGGGACCAGCTTCTGCTAACTGGGGTTGCCCTGTCCCACTCTGGCTGTGCGGGTTCTTAGGACCTAAGCATATTCCAGGAGGTCAACCTGAAGAGACCTGTGTCAGTGTTGCAGGCTGAGGGATGGGAAACGCCTTCCTCTAGGCTGCTTCCTGGGGCTGGGATGAGACACTAGTTGCCTTCTGAGGAAATTGGAGACATGTTACTGAAAAACTATGGAAGTTGACTCCCCACCCCTAGAAGTCTCTTTTGTGTAGTGTGTTCTTCTATATTGTATATCTTCTATGATAAAAGTGACTTAGTTGTCTTTACTGTGCTGTAACCAATAAGGTTAAATTTTAGGATGGGAGAGGGCTTGAGCCTCTTGGAAAATCAGGGTCCACTTCCAGAAAATGAAAAAAGCAGGATAAGAGAGTTTGATCCTTCAGAAGAGAAATTGGATCTTGAGTTAGAAACCTGGGATTAAGAAGAAAGGTTGGGGTTGAGAGTGTGGCTCAGCGGTAGAGCACATGCCTAGCGTGCATGAGGCCCTGGATCTAGCTCCAGCACTGCAGATAAAGAACAGGTGACGGTGCCACAGATGGGAAGAGAAGGGGGAGGTACGGAGGGGGCAGGGGGGGCTGGGGGAAGGGAAGGAGGGAGAGGAGAGAGTCTGTGTTGGCTATTCTGAGTGAGCAGTCTAGGAGAGGAGTATGTGGAGTAGCTGACGAACCTAGCCTCCCATGTCTCCTGGGTGGCATGTCCTGTGAGGTTTTTCCATCTTCTCTCTTCAGGCACTAATCAATCGTGGGGTTAACCTGGATCCTTTGGGCAAGTGGTCAAAGACTGGACTTGTGGTGTATGATTCTTCAGTGCCCATTGGTAAGTACCCCTTGCTCGATAGCCCTCTTATCTCTGTCCTTGTCCCAGCATGTCATAGAGTGTCGTCCTCGCTCAGGTGCTACTCCCGAGTACCTGGCTGGGCACTACATGCTGCAAGGAGCCTCCAGCATGCTGCCCGTCATGGCCTTGGCACCCCAGGAACATGAGCGGATCCTGGACATGTGCTGTGCGCCGGGAGGGAAGACCAGCTACATAGGTAGGAAGGGCTGGGGCTTGCCTCGTGCTGTGCGTTTGAAAGTAGAGGGGGTTGGTGACTGTCTAGTGTTCACAGCCCTTTCCAAGCAGCTGGCAGAGTGGTGAGGAGCAATTTCTGGAGTGGGCCCAGCTGTATCACTTGTTGCCCATCTGAGCTGGGTAGGCCTGTTCTCTTTTATTCACAGAATGATGTTGGTGTTGTGCAGAGCTGTCTGTTACATTACACTAGGTCATGCAGGTTGACAGTGCATTTAGAAGTTCTCAGAGCTGAATGTGGTAGCACATACCTGTCATATCAGTGCTTGGGAGGCTGAAGCAGGGGCTACACAGCTAATTTGAGGCCAGCCTGAGCTTTATAATGAGACCCTATCTCAGCCCCGAAAAACAAACCAAAAAATGTCCCTGTCAGTGTCACGTACATAATAAGCAGTGAGTCATTTTATGAATCTGTTATCAAAAGATGTTCAGTAAGAATGAAAGCCAGAGGGCCAGCCAGATAGCTCAGTGAACTAAAGCACCTACTTGGGCAGGGGCAGGGATTGGGGTTCAACCCTCGGTATGCGGTGCCAGCCCCTGCCCCAGTGACTGAGACGGGCATGGTGGTATGTGCCTGTAATCCCAGTGCTTGGGAGGCTGAACACAGGAGGATCACTACAATTCCGATCTGTGTAGTGAGACCTTGTAGACCCTGTCTTGAATGGAAGCCACAAGGGCTGTGGGGAGATAGCTCAGCAGCATAAATGCCTGCTTGGCATGTGCAAGGTACTGAGTTTGATCCCCAGCACCAAAGAAAGAAAAGCCAAGCCAGGTTGGCAGGCTTGCCAGTTAGCTTGGCCAGTGGAAGCCAGGCAGACCTGTGCACTAGGGAGCAAAGGTTGTTGGGAGTGAAGTTTAGAGGAATGGAGGTGACTTGGCCTATGGGTTCTTGGGTGGAGGGTGGGCTGGAATATGGAGGCAGAGGATCTGGCCGCTCAGCACTCGTGCTTCCCTCCAGCCCAGCTGATGAAGAACACAGGGGTGATCCTTGCCAATGATGCCAATGCAGAGCGGCTCAAGAGTGTTGTGGGCAACCTGCACCGGTTGGGAGTCACCAATGCCATTATCAGCCATTATGATGGGCGCCAGTTCCCTAAGGTCGGACTCTCCTCCTGTGACATCAGTGCTGAGCTTTGCCCCTAGGAAAGACATGCTGCATGTAGATTGTGGGAAAGATGTTACTTGACCTGCTCTTTTCCCTAGGTGGTGGGTGGTTTTGACCGAGTCCTGTTGGACGCTCCCTGCAGCGGCACTGGGGTCATTTCCAAGGACCCTGCGGTGAAGACCAACAAGGTACTGTCTCAGGCGGGGGAGTGCCTGAGGAGGTTGGGCTTTTACGAGTGGGGCGTGAGGTGGAGGAGCACCCTGGGCCTTATGAAGTCAGCCTGGGTCTCTTTGGGACAGGATGAAAAGGACATCCTGCGCTGTGCTCACCTTCAGAAAGAGCTGCTCCTGAGTGCCATTGACTCTGTCAACGCCACCTCCAAGACAGGTGGCTACCTGGTGTACTGTACCTGCTCTATCATGGTGAGGTCTACAGCTCAGGAGGCTAAGAGGTGGGGCACGGCCCTCTGGGGCCTTTGAAGCTTTAGCTCCCCTTCTCTCCTGGCTGTGTGCCCTCTGGTATAGGTGGAAGAGAACGAGTGGGTTGTGGATTATGCCCTGAAAAAAAGAAATGTGCGGCTGGTGCCCACAGGCCTAGACTTTGGCCAGGAAGGTTTTACCCGGTTTCGAGAAAGACGCTTTCATCCCACTCTGCGTTCCACTCGGCGATTCTACCCTCACACCCACAATATGGATGGTTTCTTCATTGCCAAGTTCAAGAAATTTTCCAATTCCGTCCCCCAGGCTGAAGCAGGTGAGCAGTCTGCTCCTCTCTCATTCTTATCCCCTTTAGTCCTGTGCCTCTCTAAGAGACCTCATGGTGACTGTAGTAAGAAAGATGGATGCTTGCTTACCTCTTACCTAGCATGCTTAGTTGTCTCCTTAGATTCTTATGCCCTGGACATTTGAATATGTTGAAGTGTTTGCATAGAGGGTACCTTCTACCCAGTTCCTGTGCTTTATTTTATTTTTTATTTTTGTCTTTTTGAGACAGGGTTCACTGTGCAGTTCAGGCTGACCTCGAACTCACTTTGTGACCCAGGCGAGCCTCGAATTCACAGCAATCCTCCTGCGTCAGCCTCCCAAACACCGGGATTGCAGGCATGCATCATCATGCTGCACCCTGAGTCTTGAACGCTAATGCATTTCAGCCACAGGCTGTGGTTTCTTTTCCTTCTTGGCCTGGGGCTGACTTACGGGTAATCTACCTCTGCTGGTCCAGCATTCTCAGCATTGGCTTGGCACAGGCACTAAAAACTATCAGCAGTTTTCTGAGTCTGTCTCTATAATTGCAGATCATTTTCTTGGTCATCTTGAGGCTGGACTGGCTCTCAAGAGCAAGGGTGGGGTTTTTCTGAAACAGACTTGACAGCACTGCATGTTGAATTAATAAGGTTGGGTTTAACGGCAGACAGTCTCTGAATACAAATTGTGTGATTTGCACTGATTTTTTTTTTTTTTTTTTTTCCTTCCTCTCAGGCCTTTTTTTGGGGGGTTGGGCTGGGGGCAGTGCTAGAGCTTGAACTCAAAGCATTGTGCAGACTAGGCAAGCACTGGGCCCCTGAGCTATATACCCCTAGCGCTAATACTTTTAAAAAAGATGTCTCTTAAGAAAAGTCATATGAAGGGGGCTGGGGAGTTGGCTCAGTAGAATAAGCGCTTCCCTGGCAAGCACAAGGGTCTGAGTTCAATCCCTGGTTCCGCAAAAAAAAAAAAAAAAAGAAAAGTCATGTGAGGCCGGCAAGATAGCTCAGCGGACTAAGTGCCAGCTTGGGCAAATGGGGGGACCAGGGTTTGATCCTTGGCACCACATCATACTTACCATGATCACTCCATGGCACCACATGCTGTGCCCCTGGGCACGCTAAGCCAGTGACTGAGTCTGGGCGTGGTGGTACATGCTTCTAATCCTAGCACTGGGAGGACTGGAAAAAAGAAACCAGAAAGAAAGAAAAGTCATGTCTAGGACTGATGAGATAGCTCAGTGGACTAGCTCCATGGACTAAGCATCTGCTTAGGCAAGCACAGGGACTGGGGTATAATTCTGGTACCATATGCAGTGCTGTTCCTGCCCCCAGGCATGCTGAGCCAGCCACTGAGAGGGTGTGGTGGCACAGGCCTGTAATACCAGCTCTGCGGAGTCTGAAAACAGGAGGATCATTACAAATCTGAGCTGCGTAGTGAGACCCTGTACCAAATACATTTTTTTAAAAAATCGTATCTGAATATTAAAATACAAAAATCTTAAATATTTAAGTACATACTTGTCCATCTTCACTGATGCTTTGCTAGCTTGTTTCTAGTTGTTAATGGATTTGTTTTTTGTCAGAATCCCTATTGGGGGCAAATTGTCTTTGCTTTTAAAAAGAAAGCCTTGTGTCTCAGGTTTATTTAGAAGATGCTAGGGCTCAGTACCTTCTTTGGGTATCGTGGTACCTACTGTCCTCAAGGGGGCGTGATTCTTGGTAAAACCTTTTGGCTCATGGAGAATCTCTTGATTTTTTGAGACAGGGTCTCCCTGTGTAGTTCAGGCTGGTCCTAAACTTACTGTGTAGCCCAGGCTGATCTTGAACTCAGTGATCTTCATGCTTTGACCTCTGGGATTACACTATGCCTGACTACAATGATCTCTTAACATAAATTCAAATAGGACAAATAATATTAATCTAGGTAATAGCTCTTAGGCATTGTAATCAGAACACTTGGCCAAGAGATGGCAGGCAATTCCTGTATTTTATTATTTTTAAAATTTTACTTTTTTATGTATTTAGTACAGGGTCTTACTACGTAGATCAGACTCATGGTGATCTTCCTGTTTTCAGCCTCCCAAGAGCTGGGATTACAGGTGCACACTACCATACCCAGTCTTAATTTCAGTGAACCCTGGGAATGGGGGCAGGGCTGGCACTGCATGCCAGGGATTGAACCCTGGCTGCTATGCTCTGCCTAAGCAGGCTCTTTAGTCTGCTGAGCTAAATTTGGCTGGCCCAATTCCTGTATTTTAATCTCTTACTTTTTTTTTTTCTGCTAATGATCAAGACCATTTAATGGTAAAGTCCATCTCAAATGTCTCACTTAATTTTAACCCTAGGAAATTCTGCAACAGGCACCCCTACAGACATAGATTTGCCAGACTTCAAGGGTCAGGACACTCCAAAGTCTGAGAACAGCCACCAGCCAGTCAAGAAAGCCAAAGTGGCCACCAAGGCAAAGCCAGAATTGCAGAAGGGTCCCAAGAAGGCCTCCTTCCAGAAGCTGAATGGCATCTCTGAAAGGGAAGACTCAGAATTGTCCACTGTACCTTCTGTCATGAAGGCCCAAATGTCCTCCAGGCTCCAGGATACCAGTCAGTTCTCAGGAAAAGCTAATGTGACCAGAGAACCAAAGACGACTGGGAAGCTAAAGGGACAGGTACAGAAATTGCAGTACTCCAAGAAAGCTGCTTCCCTAAGACAGTCTGCCCAGTTCAAGAGCAGCGACACTGAAGCACCTACTGTGCTGTCCCTCTCTGAGACTCAGGCCACTCCCAGGCTGAAGAAGTGTCGTCAAACCCTTGGAAAGTCCAAACAGGCTGGGAAGAAAGCCAAATTCCAGACAGAGAATGGCATCCTCAAGAGCCCTCAGGCCTCCACTGTGTCCTTGCTCAAGTCCATCCGGCCCCCACCAGCGAAGAAGAGGAAGTCGGCTTCAGGGGTGCACCATCCGCTGTTTTCCTAGGTGCTGAAAACTGGCCTGGCTGACATCCCTGGGCCGGAACGCTTCTTTCTTCCTCACTGTGCATACATATTAAAATTTAATACACATCTGAGCATCTCTGGTCTGTGCTTTGGGGGGACTGGGCTCGCAGCTGGTGGGAAGGTGAGATGCAGCAGGTGGCCTGAGATGCCGGTTTGCTCTGGATCCTGCTGTGCCATGACCTCAGGGGAAATGTGGGGGGTCAGAGCTGGGTGTTCAATGAGAGCAAGGTGATAGGGTTAGAGATAGGATGGACTTCCCCACGGGAATCCACGGGGTGCTGGGCATCTTGGGTTCTGGGCTCCACTTCCTGAGATCCAGGCCGTGGCCCACGGTAGGGCCTCGGCTTCTGCGCTGTCCAGGGCTCAGCCTCCGGTGGGCCTTTCATTGGCTGCCTTTCTGCCCGCCTCCTGGCCTCTGCCCTTTCGTTGGGCCCTCTGATTGGTCTCCCGGATCTCAAGGGCCCCTCATTGGTTCTTCTCTTTCGCTTCTCGCTCCGGCTCCAGCGCCAGGCTCTATCTCCCGGCAGAAAGTGCAGCCATGAATCCGTTATTCGGCCCTAACCTCTTCCTCCTACAGCCGGAGCAGCAAGGCTTGGCCGGGCCTCTGGGGGACAGTCTGGGGGGCGACCCCTTTTCCGGAGGCGGGGACTTGCCCCCGGCACCAATTGCGCCCGCTGGCTCAGCCGCCTTTTCGCCGCCCGGCCCGAGCCCCGCGCCTCCCGCCGCCATGGCGCTCCGAAACGACCTGGGCTCCAACATCAGTGTGCTCAAGACCCTGAACCTACGCTTCCGATGCTTCCTGGCCAAGGTGCACGAGCTGGAGCGCCGGAACCGGCTGCTGGAGAAGCAGCTGCAGCAGGCGCTGGAGGAGGGTAAGCAGGGCCGGCGGGGCTCGGCGCGCCGAGACCAGGCGGTGCAGACCGGCTTCGCCAGCCCGGTGCGGCCGCTGGGGCTAGCCCTGGGCGCGCGGCCGGCCGCCGTCTGCTCCCCGGCGGCGCGCGCTCCGGCCTGCCCCTCACCGCCTTCCGCCACCGCGGCCTCAGCCTTCTCGTCGTCAGCCCGCTTCATGCCCGGCACCATCTGGTCCTTCTCGCACTCCCGGCGACTCGGGCCAGGACTGGAGCCCACGCTGGTGCAAGGGCCCGGCCTGTCGTGGGTGCACCCGGACGGGGTGGGCGTCCAGATCGACACCATCACCCCCGAGATCCGCGCACTCTACAACGTGCTGGCCAAAGTAAAGCGGGAGCGGGACGAGTACAAGCGGAGGTAGGGGCCGGGAAGTGGGGGCCAGGGTGCAGCAACACGCCGTGCACACGCTGGGCGGGTGTGTTCGTGGGGCCCCGAGATCAGGGTGGACCGAACTTGAGTAATGTTCTTTCAATGTGATGAGGGGCTTGGCAGGGACAAGATACGGGGAGCCCGGAGTCCACGGAGAATGCAGAAGTCAGACTCGTGATGAGAGAATACTAAGAGCAGAACACTGGGGAATTCAGTTTTTTTTCTGGCACATCTCCTTTTTGCCTGCAGTATTCAGATGACTGTGTTGGAGGGGGTGGGGTGGTTTGTGAAAGGTTCGTGCATCAGAGGTACCTTTCAGCTCTTGGGGGCAATTTTAGGGTATAAGTTCCATACTCGGGCCTCAAGTAGGCAAAGGATAGAGCTATATTTTTGAAAACTAAAGTGGAAGTAGGAGGGCTGCTGAGGTAGGGGCTGCACCCTGTTCTGGGTGGTACTGTGTCTACCTAGGCTTTCCCCAAGCCATGCCCAGAGAAGGCAGGTATGTGCTCTTGTTCCATGTGAAAGGGCTGGGACTTTGAGGCATTGGAATAGGTGACAAAAACGAAAAAAGACAGTGAAGGAATTCACTGGGGCAAAGGGAGGGACTTGTCCTAGGGCTGGGGGGGCACTCAGCCAAGGAAACATAAACAGACCCAGCAGAGGGCCTGCAGAGGACAAAGTTGAGAATTTGCACATCTTTCGGCCCTTGGGCAGCTCAAGGCAGGCCCCTTGTCGTCTGAGGCTGAAGATTTGCTTTCTGAGAAGAACCCTACTGTAGTGGGGTGGCATTAGGAGCAAGGACAGAGATGTGGTACTGAATGCCAGCTGTTTATGGGTGGAGGCCCTGTGTGCTCATTCACTGGACTGGTGTGAGAGGGGCTCAGGCAGACTGATCAAGGCCATGGTGGAAGACTGGCTAAGGGGCTCCTGTCTCATCTTGGCAGTTGTCACCTCTGATGGGCAGGACTGGGACTACCTTTGCAGCTAAAGAGTAGTAGCGGTTTACCAGTGGGCAAAGACTGGCAGAATATTTTGGGAAACTGTCGCTGGGACTGTGGGCGACCTTGAGGGATTCATAACTGTATCTCCTGAACACAGAGCAGCAGGCATTCTGAGGTGGAGGCTTGTATTCAGGCTGCCTTCCTGAGCGCGGGTCTCTGTGATAGTTGTCCTTGGGGATTTCAGTTGTCCTGAAACCATCATCTAGGTGCCAGCCAGGACTAGTCTGCTCCTGCAGGAGTTAATAAACACAGTCAGCAGGACACAGTTCTGGAACATGTCCATAGCCACAGGAACAACTGCTCTTCTTCTTCTTCTTTTTTTTCTTTTTTTTTTTTTTTTTAAGTGAAAGAGTATTTGTCCTTGGTCCAGCTGTCCAGGGCAGCAGCGACTTACTCCTTGGGGACTGATTAGCTCATTGCCCTGCAGCATGCTGCTCAGCAGCCGGCTTTGTAGCCAGAACCATATGCTACGTGACACAGGCAGCACTCATTCTTCCATCCCAGATCCCTTGCCCTCCTTCTGGGCTTGTTATGGCAACACTGTACCTTCTGTGGTTGGCCTGGGAGGCCTAGGATAACTGGATACTAAAGTGGGAAGGAGCTGAGGCCCTCTGGGTTCTAGTTTCAGCCCCCCTCCCTCCCTACCCCCGCTTTGTATGACCTTTTCCTCTCTTAACTCGAGGATATACAGTAGCTTATTTGCAAGGGGGGGTGTTTGGTAAATTCAGTATTTGCTGAAGTTGCTCAGTTCTACTCATATTAAGGATAACTTGTCCAAGAGATGAGTTCTGAGAAGTCAGGATGAACCTGTTTGAAAGTCTGGCTGGAGTGCAGAGAAGAATCCCAATGAGCTTTCCACAGATTCATTTTCAGATTTGTTTGCCCTGTTTGAGATTTGTTTCCACCCACTCCATAGAGTTCTCTGTCAGACAGTGCTTCCTGCCCTCTGGGATGTATTTTGTGCAGGGTCATTGGCCCCTTGTCAGTCTGGCTGGCTTCTACCAGGCACTCAGGGTCTCCAGGAAGAGGAGGGTCCTGTGTCCTATGCCTTTATGCTGGTGAAGAAGCGAAGGCCCAGAAGAGAGAAGGGTCTCAGCTAAGAATGCTCACAGCCTGGTGATCCACAGTGCTCAGTGCTAGAGTGGAAAAGAGAGGGGTGTGGGGTTGTCAGGGAAGGAGCAGGGAGTTGGGCTAGTGGGGAGCCTCTGCCAGCCGAGTGGGAGGGGCCAAGGTGAGGCAGGAGCTATTATTAGGAGCACTGCAGTGTGCTGCAGCCAGGCGCTGCAGCCAGGCGCTCTGGAGAGTGAGAGTAGGCACCAGACCCGAGGGCTGGGATGCAGAGCAGTGGCAGGAAGGGGCAGAAAGGGCCTAATCCTAGCCCGAGCAGCTTCTCCTGGGGATGCCTGTGTCCTTGCTGTGCTCTTTGTGGCTGCTTTGACTGCTCGCCTCCGTGGGGGCTTCTATCTTGGTGCAGTGCCCTTCCTTTCTCAGACTGAGAAGAGCCTTTCCAAAATGTGGCAAGAATCAGTGAGCTTGAGATGCGCTGCTAGTCCAGCCCCACCCTGGCCCTGGAAGCGACAGGGCCAAATCCTAAACTATGTCAGCCCTTGCTTTTCTTCCCACCCCTGGGATGGAGAATGTGCCGCCCTAGCCTGGGAGATGGGCAAGACTGTCTCCTGTCTCCCATGGTCATGGTCTTGTGTCTGGACTTTCAAAGGCAGGAGGGGCTGCCAAGCCTGGCTCTGACCCCTCTGTTAGTGAGGTGTGCCCTATGCTCCCATTTCCCCTCCTCCGGTCTGGGTGCTGAGTAATCCCTGGCTCCTGATGGCCATTACTTTTGCGCAGCTGGGGGACTCAACCCCAGTCAGCCTTGCAGCATCTCTGAGGTGCACTTTTGGGGGTTCTGGGTAGGACTGTGAGCATTTCCCTCAGGCTCCTGAGCAGCCCTGGTGACAGGCCTGTGTCCTGCAGATGCTTTTGCAGGGTTAAATGTACCCCAGGAGGCAGGGCAGCAGGCTAGACGAACTCTGTTCTGGTGCGGGCAGGAGGCGGGAGACCGGATCTATGCCACTGAAGGTGGGAGACTGGGCCGGGTGGGCCTGGTGGTCTGGTGTGGGCAGGTGGGTGATGTAGCTGTGCAGACAGCTGGTGGAGCTGGGGCCCTAGCAGGGATGGGCACAGAAAGACCAGGGTGGCCACAGTTGCTTTTAAATAGTTCTGGAGGTTTCCGGAAGGCAGCTGTGAGGTTGGTCTCTGCCATGAAGTGCGGAGTCTCCCGACAGCTGCAGCTGGCCACCCACCGGCTGGCCATATGTCCCCACATAAGGGTCAGATGAGGGGGGCAGGGAGCTATAGAGACAGCAGGGTCACCAGATCTATGTTCTCTCCTTCCTACTGTCTGCCAGGTGGGAAGAGGAGTACACGGTGCGGATCCAGCTACAGGAGCGTGTGAATGAGCTCCAGGAGGTAAGGGTGGCCACCCCACACCCATTTCTCTCACCTTGGTGCTGCCTCCCTGTACCTCCTCACGTCCTGATGTCAGGGTTTCCTCCTGCCTGCAGGAGGCCCAAGAGGCTGACGCTTGCCAGGAGGAGCTGGCCATGAAGGTGGAGCAGTTGAAAGCTGAGCTGGTGGTCTTCAAGGGCCTTATGAGCAACGTGAGTCCAGCTCTGGCCCACTGGCATCCTGTTCGCTGCCCCTACCCTCACCTTACCATCCTCTAACATGGGACAAAAAGGAACAAAAGCCTTATGTCAGGGGCTGGGGAGATGGCTCAGTAGAATAAGCGCTTGCATGGCAAGCACAGGGCCCTGAGTTCAATCCCCGGTTCCGCAAAAAAAAAAAAAAGGGGGGCTGGTGAGATGGCTCAGTGGTCTAAAGCACCTACTTAGAACAAGCTTAGCAAAGCCCAGGGACCACGGTACAATCCTCCAGCAATGCATGCCAGCCAGCCCTGCCCCCTGGTGGGCTGAGCTGGCCACACACACACACACACACACACACACACACAAATAAAATTTTTAAGCCTTATGTCATGTCATGGACAGTGTAGGAGTATAGCCCAGGAGCTGCTGTCTAGGTTCCTAAGTCACCTCTGTAGCTTGGTAGCTGGGTTAGCTCTGGGCCTGCTCCTTCCCTGCCCACATGCGGGGCCACTGACTGTGCCACAGGTGTGAGGGTGGCTACGCACACGGATGGAGCCTGGCACTGTGCAGTGCTCAGAAGCGTTAGCTGTTATCGTCATTATCACGGTTCTTTCTCCACTCTTGAAATGCCCAGTGCCTCCTTTCTGTGGGAGCTGATGTTCTAGGAGACTCCAGGGAACCCCTGTGTGGCCCAGGCTCTGGTCACACTCTCAGAGCTCCTATATGGCTGTGGTTGTAAGGAGGTATTCCCCCTACCCCAAAGAGGAAAAGGGTTTGCTTGCATTCTCTCTTTCAACTAATTGAGGCAAGGCCGTGATACATAGTTCAGGCTGGCTTTGAACTCACTTATGGAGCCCAAGGTGCTCTTCAACTTAAGGCTGTCCTGCTGCCTCAGCCTCCTGAGTGCTGGATTACAGGCCTGCATCAGCATGGCCAACTTGGCAAAAGGAGGCCCCAGACTTACTTCATGGAGGACATGGTGGCCATGATGGGCAAGATGAGGATCTTGCCAAGGCCTTTGTAAGATACTGGGCTTTCTTCACTTTCCCCTGTGCTCCCTGGACAGAACCTGTCAGAGCTGGACACCAAGATCCAGGAGAAGGCCATGAAGGTAGATATGGACATCTGCCGCCGCATTGACATCACCGCCAAGCTGTGTGACCTGGCTCAGCAGCGCAACTGTGAAGACATGATCCAGATGTTCCAGGTGAGAGGTCTGGGCTGCCCTCACTCTCGGCACAGGGCTGGGGCAGGGGAGGGGCTTCCATCACTGCCACTCTGAGTTGGCTCCACCCTTCTTGGGACTTCTCTCTGGGCCCTGGGGCCCCCAGTGGGACTAGGCTGGGGGCAAAGAGCAGCCTCAGAAGTTTCAGAAGCCATCTCTAACACCGTCTCCCCTCCCTCTCTCTCTCCTCTGTCTGCTTCTCTCTTCCTTTCGTCTTTCTTGCTTTCTCCATAGAAGAAGCTGGTTAGTTTATCTCATGCAAGCTTACCGATGTCCCTGTCCCAGTCTCTGAGCCTCCCACTATTGGGCTACTCTTGAGCACAGACTTCTCCCTTTCTGTGTGCCTTGCTCCTCTCTCCATTTTTAGTCGTTTCCCCTTTACTTCCTTTCTTTTTCGCCCTTCTCCCACTGGCTGCCTAGATGTGGACACAAGTCAAGTTCTCCTCTGTAAACACCAAATCCTCAGCCTACGATTTTCCTTTTAGTTGAATTCTTTCTGATGAAAGACTTCTTGTTAGAGAAAACCCTTCCTTCTTAGCCATGAGACCGCTCAGTGTGGTTGCAGCAGGCCATCTTGCCCCTTATCTTACTGCTTTACTTTTTCTCTCTCTCCCCTTCTTCCTTCTCAGTCTGCAGCCTGCCCATCTGTGTGTGTCTGCCTGTCTCCCAGTGACTGCTGTTTCTGTTCCTGCCCTCTGACTGTGTCTCCTCTTGTTTGTCCCCTCCCTGCTGGCCCCTGCTCTCCTGTCCACCCTCTCCCCCACGCACCCGGCCTCGGCTCTGTAGCCTCTGCACTTGTCTCCCATTAAGGTCCCATCCATGGGGGGGCGGAAGCGGGAGCGCAAGGCCGCTGTCGAGGAGGACACCTCCGTGTCAGAAAGTGATGGGCCCCGCCAGCCCGATGGGGAGGAGGAGGAGAGCACGGCCCTCAGCATCAACGAGGAGATGCAGCGCATGCTCAACCAGCTGTGAGTCCCACAGGCTGCCCGCCCCCGAGGCCGGCTCCCCATGCCCCACCAACACGGGTTCCTGTCTCTAGGAGGGAGTATGATTTTGAGGACGACTGTGACAGCCTGACTTGGGAGGAGACTGAGGAGACCTTGCTGCTGTGGGAGGATTTCTCAGGCTATGCCATGGCAGCAGCAGAGGCGCAGGGAGAGGTAACCACCCCTCCCGCCTCAGGCCCGCAGCAACGCCTCCCAGCCTGACCCCTGCCTGGCCCTGCCTTGCTCTGTCTCCCTGTGTGGCTTCCCTCTGCTCCCTGTGTGTCCTTGTCTGTTTTTTCCTGTTCCTCCTGCAGCCCCCTCTAACCTGACTTTCTGTCTCTCCACTTGGCCTTTCTCCTTCAGCAGCAAGAAGACAGCCTAGAGAAGGTGATTAAAGATACTGAGTCCCTGTTCAAAACCCGGGAGAAGGAGTATCAGGAAACCATTGACCAGATAGAGGTAAGGGGGTGTGCTGGTGCTGAGGGGCCCTATCCCAGAGGTCACCAGTGAGGCTGCGGGTGTGCTGGCTCCTGCCTTCTGTCATCTGGGAGGAGTGACTGTGGCACTCCTCATGGTCCTTGAGACCTTGGGCTCTGGAGGCAGAGGGACATGGGTTTTGAGTCTCAGCTCTGTCACTTCCCACCACTTGATTTGGAACAACTTATGTGTTTTCTTTGACCTTGTGTCTTTATCAAATGGGGATTGAGCCCCTCCTTGTCCCTGTCTTTGGCTGGTTAAGTGGAGAGATGTCTGTATGCTTGGTATGGGCCCTGCTTGCAGTTGAGCACCCCATCAATGCCAGCAGCGTGGCGGTGGCACTCAGGCCTGGCCTCCTGAGTCCTCAGCTGGGCCTCTGAGCTCCAGAGGGGTCTAGCTGTGGGTGCCCCCAGGGCAGTAAGACAGTTCGCAGCTGTAGAATAAAGGAGGCCCTGGGCAGAGGACTGGATGGGCCCCGTGAGTGCCTGAGCATGAGGTGACTGACAGGGACTCTAGTGTGGGGCTGAGGCAGGAGCTCTTGGCCTTGTGACTGGTCCCCGGTGTGTGGGACAGATTCAGATTCCGGTCGTGCTCCCTCTGCTGCATGTAGAGGAGGAGGCTGAGCAGTTCTTTCCTTGTATTTTCATTCTCCCCATCAGGAATCAAATGGTCTTGCTCCTCTGAGCAAAGCTGTTATTATGGAAAACAAATGTTAAGATTCAGAGGCACAGCCAGTGTTCTGCTAGCTGAGGCCACTGGGAAGAGCTCGTCTTTTCACTGTACCGTGTCTTCCTGTCTCACTGCAGCCTCCTCCCTCCATCCCTGCTTCTGAGCCTTGCCCTTCTGTTTTCCATGGAAGACTTAAGGGTCTTTTTTTTTGGTGGGGGGTAATTTTTGAGGCAGGGTCTCACTGTGCAGTTCAGGCTGGCCTTGAACTCATTTATGTGGCCCAGGCTGACCTCAAGCTCACAGTGATCCTCCTGCCTCAGCTTCTGGAGTGCTAGAAGTACAAGTGTGTGTCACCACACCCAGAAAGACATAAAGTTCTGTCTCACTCTGCCTTCCACCGTGCAGAGACTAATGATCTGGGGCTGTAGTTGTGGCTCAAAACATGGCCAGGTGTGGTGACACATGCCGTGATCTCAGTGCTAAAGAAACTGTGGGTTCAATCCCCAGTGGTGTAAAAAATAAGTACATAGCTGGTCTGTACCTATTTGTACATCCCTCTAATTCATACTCTTACAGCAGGAGTGAAGGAGGAGGATGACACCTCAGGGGACATCCTCAATAACACCTCAGATAGTTTAGTAGATTCAAGTGCCTGTTTAGGCAGATGCAGAGACTGGAGTTCAGTCCCCAACATGCCATGCCAGCCCTGCCCCTGCCCCTGGGGTGCATTGAAATGGTGATTGAGACCGGGCAAGTGGTGTAATCCCACCATGCCTGTAATCCTAGCGCTTGGGGGAGACTGAAAACAGGAGGATCACTATGAGTCCGATCTGTGAAGTGAGACCCTGTAGACCCTGTACTAAATACATTAAAAAATAATAACAACACCTCAAAAACTATAGATCTGGGTGGGGTACAGAGAAGTACTCCTTCTTTCTTCTTCCTGTCCTGCTCTGGGCTTCAATTTTGCCACCCACAAGTGGGATATCCATCTCATTCACCCTGAGAGATCAAAGGTCACAAGGGGGAAGAAACTTGCGACCACCCAGCCTGCTCCCCAAGCCTGCCCCTCGCCTCATTCTGTTTT